CAAGAAGGAAGATGGACAAAGAGAAAAATAGAGAGAGAGAGAGAGAGAGAGAGAGGAAGAGAGAGAGAGAGGGAGGGAGAGAGAGAGAGAGAGCTTGGTACACACGCGCCAAGAGGGTTCTCCAAATTTGCCGACCATGGCATGGCCGCGCGAGGAAAGAGCGCGCGAGTAACGGCGCGAGGAAGGGAGAGCGATCCGCAGCGGGGGTGGAAGAACATTACAGAGTTAGAGAGAAAGAGAGAGAGAGAGACAGAGAAAGAGAGAGAGAGAGAGAGGGGGGGGAGGGAAAGAGAGAGAGAGCGAGACGGGCAAAGCGGGAGCGGGACGGCAGGAGAGAGCGAGGAAGAGGGAGTACCAGGAGGCCGAGGCTGCGGCGTAGCCTCAGTGCCGGCGCAGTGGCCGGGCCATCGTGTCCTGTGCCCAGGTCTCCGTGTTCTCCTCTCTCCGTCTCTGATCCTGTCGTCAGTCATACGAACTCTGTACGGTGCGTCGCCGTCATCATCACCGTCGTTATCATCGTTACATTTGTTCCGACCGCAAAGTCCTTACCCTGTGGTGTTCTATCGTGTCCTGCCAATATCGCGCATCCCTCTTTCTTTCTCTCTCTCTCTCTCTCTCTCTCTCTCTCTCTCTCTCTCTCTCTGTCCTTCTTTCTCTCTCTTTCTCGCTCTCTTTCTCTTTCCCTGTCTCTCTTTCTTCCTCTTTCTTGGTCTTCTCTTCGTTGACGATCGAACGAATCGCGCGTCGTCCGCGTCCCCGATGAGAGCCAGCGCGACGCGACGTGGTGCGACGACACCCGGTAAGGTCGCTCTCGCGAGAGACGCGGCCTGACTTCCTGCTGCGCGCGGAGGGGTAGGTTGTCGCTAAACAGGCGTTACTCGCGTTGCTGACGTACGGGGTGCGCGGCCACGAAAGAGCGACGCAAGAGGTGACGAATTGCCGACGGTACGAGAGAGCGGCGATACGAGTTACCCGGGAATTAGTGACGAACGGTGGGACATCCTTCGCCGGGCAACAGCGGCGAGGAGGATCGAGGTGAAGAGGTGGGAGCCATGCCGCCCGGGCGAGCTTCTCTCGAGGCAGCCAGCAGGATCGTCCAGTTACTGTCTTCCTGTCTTATCCGACTGCCTGCTCGTGTTCGCTTTTGCTGAGAGGTAAGGACCTCGCGGGGATCCTTGTACTCCGATAGAGAACCGACGAATATGCGATTATTGATGGCGTTCGAAATCGCGAGCGGCTCTCCTCGTCCTGCTCGAGAGATCGAGAGCGCGACTTCTGAACGGATGCAGGTCATACTACGTGAATGGAGTAAGCATTCGCAACAGTATCGGCTTATTCGAATGTGGAGGATTTGGTGGAGACTCGTGATTGAGAATGGCGTTTTTTAAATCGTAAGTATAGCTTGGAGATTTCTTTCATAATTTCTATTCGCGCGCCTCTATTATATATCTTTCTTTTCGAATAAAGCCTTCAAGGAAGCGATATACTCGTTATATTACGATATAAATTACAGTTCTTCGTAAATACAGACAAGAAATAATTTCTATTCGTTTATAATGTAAACATCTATCGAAACCAGATATTATTTCATCAAGCATATGCACCCCCCCCTCCTGTTTTTCTACGAGGAAGAAAAACGGAAGTCTCCCCGATCTTTCGTAGTCTACGCCATCTTATCGCTCGCGCTACAAACCTGTAAAATCTATTTAATACTTAACCAACCTTCGTAATTGTGATTACTTGCAAGAGAACTCTGGAACGTGAGTTTCCGGGTTGCGGATTCCGCTCGACTGCTGATTGGAAGACGCTCTACTCTCCTCGCCGTAATAAAAGTCAAGAGGATTACTTTGAAACTTAGTCCCAACGACGCTTCCCTCTGGAATCGTTTGATGAATTACGTTTTCTCAAGATACTTCTATCTGATTACGCAAAGCGTAATCGTAAAGTCGATAGACTTCTTCCAGTCCAGTCCCTTTCCGTTGTAAAATTTCTTCGTGATCTTCACGAGAAATCCCTCAAATGTCCGGATCTCTCATTTCATAATCGCTTCTGATCGCTTTCATACGGAACTATGTCGGGTTATGTCAATGATATGCAGAGTTCTCCAGCTTGCAGTGAGCAACGATAGCATGTCCTTGGAGAATAACCGTTTGTAGCTCGTTGTTGGTTCAAGACGCGTCTCGGCGGCAACGATCGGCTCTCCGCTACTTTACAACATAAACGCCACAATCGATTGTCTTCTCGAGTAGCTGTCTCCTATGAAATGCGCGCATGAATATATTTGATGACCTGATATCGCAAGCATTAACATAACTCAACTTCCTTCGAATAGGATTGTCATGTAGTCTCGATGGTTCTATTTCGTAAGCTCTATTCCATAAGTTCTATTCAAATCGCACAAGTTCAAATAAACAAGTGCATTTCTGCGTGAAACAATACGCGTTTTTTGAAACAAAAATTGAAAAGGAAAATACTTTTGCGACAATATAATACTCAGGGAGATTTCACTCCTTTCTCTATTATATCTTTATGATAATAAAATCTTTGCCGACGCAATGCAAAATATTCTAAAAATATACAGGTTCTCATTTGTTCTCATCCGAGCGAATTTTTTTAATATCGAGATTCAAATATTCTTGACGCAGCGATTTCGAGATCATCTCGATCTTTTTTTTTCGATGTTGGCACTCAACTTATGCGACATGCCGGAAGCTATGAGCGCCGCATTAATTACTGGAAATGCAAACATGAATCATGATGTGACGCACAATGCGAATGTTGACGTGGGACGTTAACCGTTTCGTTATTATCGTGTGCTCCAGGAATTTTGACCGGAACACCCGTGTGGTCCCGTTGTCGATGAATCCCGGTCAGCAGAATAGACGAGCGTGTTCATATGGTCCCGGTATCTCCGGTATCGTGAAGAACGATCGTGTTAATCAAAGCTTGCCCAAACACGTATCAAATTTGATCGGAAGCGAAATGAAGATCCGCGAAATACATACATCCTTATGGAACTCTATATATCGATAATTTAACGCCATTATTACGGGAGCGCAACAATTAAAAATCATACAACATCGGGAGAAACTTTTTTTCATACAAGTATGTACATTTATTTTACATATGCAGGGTATTCCGAAAATGCGTGCTGCAATTTGGAAGGAGGAGATGGCTTATGTAAAAATTAATTGAAAATATAGAATAACATTTTTCGTACAGAGCTCGGTTTTCGAAAAAATCAAGTTTGAATATTTGTTAGGTACGCGTGCACTTGACGAGCTACAACCTGCTCTCTCGGTTCACCCATCTGACTATTCATCTGATTATTTTCATGTCTAAATTTAAAATTGATGTGATAAATTTCAATAATGTTATTTACTTCATTAATTAAAAGATGGTTCGAGATACTGCCCTTCGTAATGCAG